TCTCTCTGGTCTCTCTCTGGTCTCTCTCTGGTCTCTCTCTGGTCTCTCTCTGGTCTCTCTCTGGTCTCTCTCTCTGGTCTCTCTCTGGTCTCTCTGGTCTCTCTCTGGTCTCTCTCTGGTCTCTCTCTCTGGTCTCTCTCTGGTCTCTCTCTGGTCTCTCTCTGGTCTCTCTCTGGTCTCTCTCTGGTCTCTCTCTGGTCTCTCTCTGGTCTCTCTCTGGTCTCTCTCTCTGGTCTCTCTCTGGTCTCTCTCTCTGGTCTCTCTCTGGTCTCTCTCTGGTCTCTCTCTGGTCTCTCTCTGGTCTCTCTCTGGTCTCTCTCTGGTCTCTCTCTGGTCTCTCTCTGGTCTCTCTCTGGTCTCTCTCTGGTCTCTCTCTGGTCTCTCTCTGGTCTCTCTCTGGTCTCTCTCTGGTCTCTCTCTGGTCTCTCTCTGGTCTCTCTCTGGTCTCTCTCTGGTCTCTCTCTGGTCTCTCTCTGGTCTCTCTCTCTGGTCTCTCTCTGGTCTCTCTCTGGTCTCTCTCTGGTCTCTCTCTGGTCTCTCTCTGGTCTCTCTCTGGTCTCTCTCTGGTCTCTCTCTGGTCTCTCTCTGGTCTCTCTCTGGTCTCTCTCTGGTCTCTCTCTCTGGTCTCTCTCTGGTCTCTCTCTGGTCTCTCTCTGGTCTCTCTCTGGTCTCTCTCTGGTCTCTCTCTGGTCTCTCTCTGGTCTCTCTCTGGTCTCTCTCTCTGGTCTCTCTCTGGTCTCTCTCTGGTCTCTCTCTCTGGTCTCTCTCTGGTTCTCTCTCTGGTCTCTCTCTGGTCTCTCTCTGGTCTCTCTCTCTGGTCTCTCTCTCTGGTCTCTCTCTGGTCTCTCTCTGGTCTCTCTCTCTGGTTCTCTCTCTCTGGTCTCTCTCTGGTCTCTCTCTGGTCTCTCTCTGGTCTCTCTCTGGTCTCTCTCTGGTCTCTCTCTGGTCTCTCTCTGGTCTCTCTCTGGTCTCTCTCTGGTCTCTCTCTGGTCTCTCTCTGGTCTCTCTCTGGTCTCTCTCTGGTCTCTCTCTCTGGTCTCTCTCTCTGGTCTCTCTCTCTGGTCTCTCTCTGGTCTCTCTCTCTGGTCTCTCTCTGGTCTCTCTCTGGTCTCTCTCTGGTCTCTCTCTCTGGTCTCTCTCTGGTCTCTCTCTCTGGTCTCTCTCTCTGGTCTCTCTCTGGTCTCTCTCTGGTCTCTCTCTGGTCTCTCTCTCTGGTCTCTCTCTGGTCTCTCTCTGGTCTCTCTCTGGTCTCTCTCTCTGGTCTCTCTCTGGTCTCCTCTGGTCTCTCTCTGGTCTCTCTCTGGTCTCTCTCTGGTCTCTCTCTGGTCTCTCTCTGGTCTCTCTCTGGTCTCTCTATGGTCTCTCTATGGTCTCTCTCTGGTCTCTCTCTCTGGTCTCTCTATGGTCTCTCTCTGGTCTCTCTCTGGTCTCTCTCTGGTCTCTCTCTGATCTCTCTCTGGTCTCATATGGTCTCTCTCTGGTCTCTCTATGGTCTCTCTCTGGTCTCTCTCTGGTCTCTCTCTGGTCTCTCTATGGTCTCTCTCTGGTCTCTCTCTGGTCTCTCTCTGGTCTCTCTCTGGTCTCTCCCTTCTCTCTCTCTCTGGTCTCTCTCTCTCTGGTCTCTCCTTCTCTCTCTCTCTGGTCTCTCTCTGGTCTCTCTCTCTGGTCTCACTCTCTTGGTCTCTCTCTGCTCTCTCTCTCTGGTCTCTCTCTCTGTCTCTCTCTGGTCTCTCTCTCTGGTCTCTCTCTGGTCTCTCTCTGGTCTCTCCCTTCTCTCTCTCTCTGGTCTCACTCTCTCTGGTCTCTCTCTTTGCTCTCTCTCTCTGGTCTCTCTCTGGTCTCTCTCTGGTCTCTCTCTGGTCTCTCTCTGGTCTCTCTCTGGTCTCTCTCTTGTCTCTCTCTGGTCTCTCTCTGGTCTCTCTCTGGTCTCTCTCTGGTCTCTCTCTGGTCTCTCTCTGGTCTCTCTCTGGTCTCTCTCTGGTCACTCTCTGGTCTCTCTCTGATCTCTCTCTGGTCTCTCTGGTCTCTCTCTGGTCTCTCTCTGATCTCTCTCTGGTCTCTCTGGTCTCTCTCTGGTCTCTCTCTGGTCTCTCTCTGGTCTCTCTCTGGTCTCTCTATGGCCTCTCTCTCTGGTCTCTCTCTGGTCTCTCTCTGGTCTCTCTCTGGTCTCTCTCTGGTCTCTCTCTGGTCTCTCTCTGGTCTCTCTCTGGTCTCTCTCTGGTCTCTCTCTGGTCTCTTGTGTCCTTGTTCTAATATGAAAAGTGTAGTGATTGTAGTGAGTTTGGCCCACTTCTTTTGAGCAACACTATTCAAATACATCGATAAATAAAATAAAATAAAGATAAAATTGTCTTTAACCCTGAGTCACATGTGGATGTTGTCTTCAGGGCTGTTCTTGGACCAGGACGGGCGCTGTGTGGAGCTCTGTCCCTCCGGATCCTTCTCCAACCCGGTCCTGGGAGTGTGTGAGAACTGTTCCCCAAACTGTGAGCTGTGTGATGGGTCCAGCGACCACTGTGTGAGCTGCTCCCGACACGGACACACACCTCTGCTCCACCGGGGCTCGTGCTGGTCCCAGTGCCCCGAGTGAGTCCGCCACACAGGGAGGAGAGAGAGAGGAGGAGAGAGAGAGGGGAGAGAGAGGGGAGGGAGAGGGGAGGAGAGAGAGAGGAGAGAGAGAGGGAGAGAGGGGAGGGGAGAGAGAGAGAGGGTAGAGAGAGAGGAGAGAGAGAGAGGAGAGAGAGAGGGGAGGGGAGAGGAGAGAGAGAGGGGAGAGAGAGGGAGAGAGAGGAGAGAGAGAGGAGAGAGGAGGGAGAGAGAGGAGAGAGACGAGAGAGAGAGGAGAGAGAGAGAGGGAGAGAGAGAGGAGAGAGAGAGAGGAGAGAGAGGGGAGGGGAGAGGAGAGAGAGAAGAGAGACAGACGAGAGAGAGGAGAGAGAGGAGAGAGAGGAGAGAGAGGAGAGAGAGGAGAGAGAGAGAGAGGAGAGAGAGAGAGGAGAGAAAGGACCATTTATCTGTTTCTTTTGACTGGTTCAATCAAACTAAGACGTATTGGTTCCTATAGCTATTTCACATGTCTCTCTCTCTCTCTCTCTCTCTCTCTCTCTCTCTCTATCACTCTCCATCTCTATGACTCTCTCTCTCTGTCTCTCTCCCTCTCCCTGTCTGTCTCTCTCTCTCTCTCTCCCCCTCTCTGTCTGTCTGTCCCTCTCTCTCCCCCCTTCTCTCCCTCTCTCTCTCCCTCCCTCTCCCCCCTCTCTCTCTCCCTCTCTCTTTTCCATCATTGCATTCTCTGTCTTTGAACTCTGTGATTCTCTGAACGGTTTGTGAAGTCTTCTGAGTATGTATTTCTATCGTCTGTGACCCCGCGCTCGTGTGGTTGTGTTCAGTGGTTACTTTGAATCGGAGGAGGGGGTGTGTGAGGTCTGTGTGGGCCCCTGTCAGTCGTGTGAGGGCCTGGGCTCCCGGTGCCTGTCCTGCTCAGACGGCTTCTTCCTGGAGGGACGATCGTGTCGCCTCAACTGCTCCGAGAGGATGTTCCCGTCTGAGGATGGGACGTGCCGACACTGCCCCCCCCACTGCGACGTCTGCTCCGACCAGCACACCTGCCTCAGTGAGTCTCACCCTATAGAAAACCACTACACTGCAAAAAATGAAACAATATGAGGTGACGATTGCTTTGATCAAGTGGTTATTTTGACCTGACACATTCTGACTGTGTTAAAACAGGATTCACCAACGGGACAAAGACATTTAGTCTGATTTCAAGAACTGTTGCTTTATTTTCTCATTCCAAGGGAGACTTTTCTTGTATCTTTTTAAAACAAGATAACTTGGCTTGTCCTATTGGCAAATCTGGTTTTAAGGCTCAGTCAGAATGGGCTCAAATGACCATACAATTTTTGACTTATTTTTCATCTATTTTGCAGTGAATAAAGTATGAGTATTATCTGTATTCGTCCATCTAACTGTTGTTGTGTCTAAAAGAAAGAGACTTCTCCCACTTTGTCCCAGTATAAGTCTGGTGTGTGTGTGTGTGTGTGTGTGTGTGTGTGTGTGTGTGTGTGTGTGTGTGTGTGTGTGTGTGTGTGTGTGTGATTGGCGGTGGTCAGAGAGGCTGAAATAGACGGAGATCCCAGCGATGAGTTTCTCTGTGTTTGTAGAGTGCAGCTTCCTGTACCTGATGCTGGACGCCGTGTGCAGAGCCAGTTGTCCGGACGGATACTTCGAGGACATGGAGGAGGGGCGCTGTGGGCCGTGTCACCCGACCTGCGCCTCCTGCTCCGGGCCCCGAGGAGACGACTGTGAGACCTGCTCCTCATTCATGCTCTACAAAGGCGCCTGCTACAGGGAGTGCCCCGCGGGAACCTACTACCAAAGCACTGCCAACGAGTGCCAAGGTGCAGTACCGGAAACCTCCACTGGTCTAAGTTCTGCACCTCCACCTCCACTGCTGTCATTGGATTTGTATCTGGCTCGCTCCACACTGAACTGTCTCAATGTGTTCCTGAAATGTCCGCGGCCGTTACTGCTGAATATTCACAGACTCTTGTTTTGTCCCCAGCTCGTTTGTCCAGCAGAGGGCGCTCTACTTAAACACAGATTCACGCCACAGATTCATTAACAGCGCTCCAAGACACTGTTTTGGACGTAACAAAAGTGGACACGATTGTTACGTCCAAAACACCCAGTTTGTCTGCCGTTATTGAATAATATTTGTTTTGCATAATGTAAAATCTATAATAACAAATTGATTATAGTTATATCTCCAACTATTAACCGTTAAACAGTCTTCTCTGTCCTGTTCATGCTTCCATTCACAAAGATAGCATTAAAAAATCTTTACGTACTACCATTTTTAGTTCATACATTTATTTTATTGTTGCTTAAAGTTAGATCGACCCATGGTACAGTTTAGTGCGGAGTTAGCCAAATAATACCTTCGGACAAGAAAGTTTCCTTGTTTAAGTGAAACAGGAACTCTTTGACTGCCAATGACTGCCCTATTTTTCTGAGAGTGGAGATTTTTGTCAAACTTGCCTCTATTCGACTGGGGATTACTGGGAAACAAAAACAGCTAGAAACCAACTTATTTTTGCTGATGACAGTAGACAGTTCAGTCTTTCAGAATCTGGTTTAATATTTCACATGGTCACAGCACACAATATTTTGTGGGTCTTGAAAATCAGTGAAGTCTTAAAAAACGGTTGACAGTCAATGAGTTCATTTGAATTACTTTTGGTGTGAAAGAGGCAAAAGGTTAAGCCCTAAAACTTTAACTTGAGGGCTCCCATTCAAATCAATGGAATTATGAAAAAATATATATCGTTTTTCACTAAAACACATTTTTTTGTTTTCTGCTAATTAAAATTAAGTGATTCATAGAGTTTTTATATTTGATTCATGCTGAAAACTGGTTTATATAAATGAATTACAGCTAAACTAGATACTAACTGCCCCAAGTCACTCTGCATGTGAGAGCCAGATCCTGTTAGACCTCTTAAGCTAAGCAGGGCAGGGCTTGGTAAGTACAGTGAGGGGAGACCTTTGGGAACTTCTGGTGCAACACTGGGGTCCTTAGGCAAGACACTTCTGGACCAACATTGTCTAGAATGAGTCTGGTGTGTGTGTGTGTGTGTGTGTGTGTGTGTGTGAATGGTTGGTGGTGGTGGGAGGGGCTGATGGCACAGACTGGTTGCCTTGCTTCTGTGTGCCCCAGGGCAGCTATAGCAGTAGTTTATCACCCCTGTGTAAGGGGTGAATGAATAATGACGTCTTTGAGTGTCCAAACAGCGCTGAATAAAACTGATGGATTAGTTATTATTACTTTATCTTTCTCTCTCCTCATTCTCCACATCTCTGGCCCCTGGTTCTGAGTCTCGTTTCTCGTTCCTCGTTCCCAGAGTGTCATCAGACGTGTGCCAGCTGCCGGGGCCCGGAGCCTCACCAGTGCTCGGCGTGTGAGAAGGGCCTCGTGCTGGACCCCAACTCCCTGCTGTGTGGAGTGACAGGGGACGCACACTGCCCCCTAGGGACCTACCTGCAGCATGACGGCTTCACCTGCTCCAGTTGCCACCGCTCCTGCCTGTCCTGCCAGGGCCCCCAGCTCTGCTCCACCTGCGAGGCCCCCCACCACCTGCACAGTGAGCACACACACTGACTATGTTCAATACACAATATACTAACTTAAATATCTGACCTGACACTAGAATCCAAGAGCAGTCTTTTGGAAGTGAAATAACTCTTCTCATGTACACTATAGACTTCATAACCTTGTGACTTTAACTGTTTCTATGTGTAGTTTTAGCCAGGCCTTATCCATCCGTACTCTCCGCTCAATCGTCATGTCCTGCCTCTGGGTCTGGTCCCTTTGTTTGCGATTACAATCGGTTGAATTCCATCCGACCAATCAGAGAGCGCGGGAGGCGGGTGTTGTAGTTAGTTGTGGGTGACGTCAAGAGTTTGCGTCAAACGGGCAGGTTGTAGTTTGGCGAAGAATGCGATTGTAAAGTATTCTGTTCTGGTTCTATCAAGAAACTGAAGCCGGAGCAAGAGGAATGTTTAGCAAATGTAATCGCTGGAAAAATTGTGGCGCTACTCCCCACGGGCTCCGTTAGCGGCAAAGGAGATGGCTAAAGCTAGGATAAATGCTAACGACTCACTCGGGCGCATTACAAACGTCACGGTAAACTCAGATCCAATCGTTTCAATCTGCAAAAAGAGTTAGCCCCTCCCACCTGTTCAGACCTTAGTAGGAAATGTAAATTGTACTATGGTGGGGTACGTTTTATACTTGCTTCTTTAACATGCTTTATTATACGTTACAATATAAGTTAAAACAATACAATAAAACACACAACAATTCCCAATAGTCCCTCAATAGTTCAACAGATTTATAGCAGATTCACAAAAGAAAACAATTAGCTTTCAGGACTCTGGCTTTAGTTCTTGTATAAAGTCATCCATATTCACACATATACTATACTAAACTATACTCTCTACATTCCCAGATGGCTCCTGTATCCGTGTGTGTCCCGTCGGCTCCTACAGCTCCACACAGGCCACAGACGGACGCCAGCTCGGCTTCTGTCTTCGGTGTGACCCTGTCTGCTCCTCCTGCAGCGGCGACTCGGCCAAAGACTGTCTGACCTGTTCTCCGGGACACCTGCGCCTCCTGCACCTCTGCGTCACCCACTGTCCCACCGGGTAAAACAAACACAGAGAGAGACAGACAAGGCTGTGGAACAACGGATTCTGAAGGCCACGCAGGCGTTAGGGGAGGGACTGTGGCTGTAGAATCAGTAGAAAAGGGTCGAATGAGTTGTGAATGAGAGGCTCGAGGCTGGAGGTCATATTAGATCAAAGTTTATTCACGATTTAGCCTGGTCTTATCCATCCGTACTCTCCTGTCAATCATCATGTCAGCATGTAACGTCTGGGTCTGGTCCCTGTGTCTGTGATTACAATCTGTTGAATTCCATCCGACCAATCAGAGAGCGCGAGAGGCGGGTGTTGTAGTTAGATGTGGGTGACGTCAAGAGTTTGCGTCGAACGGGAAGGTTGTAGTTTGGCGAATAGTACGACAGTAAAGTAATCCGGTCTGGTTCTATCAAGAAACCGAAGCCGGAGCAAGAGGAATGTTTTGCAAAGAACATTTAATTTATTGTTTTATGATATTAGGTTAAAAAAACGCAAGATTTCTATTGCATATTTAGGAGACATTCACCATTGGGCATCAGTGTGACTCATCATAGATCAAAGTCCACATAAAAGTCATAAAACAATAACTGTGCAATCAGAGCAGATTTGAGAGATTGCATACATTACATAAGGAATAGCACAGAGGTTAAAAAGGTTAAATTAAGATGGAGAAAACAGTGGCTAACACAGTTCTGCACTGATCTGACAGAAAACACAAGGATTTTAACCAAAGACACAGATTTGAGCCCAAACTGTGGGGAATATTGTTGTTATTTGAGTTTAGGGAAGTGTGCAGTGTCTCCAGTATTATGAAAAAACCAGATTCCAGCGTGAAGCGGCTGCGTGAAAGTGGTCTCTTCTCTGTGGAGCAGCCTCATGTTTTCAGAAACGCTGTAAAAGGACAAAACCCCTGCGCTGTGGTCCAGGTAAACCCCGATTCTGGACCCGACCCGACCTGAGATCTGGGACTTGACTGAGTTTAACCAAAATGAAGAACAGAAAAAAATAGAGGCAAAGATGTATCATTAGATCCAAACTACAATCATCTGAGTTTCCTTTCCTCTTAATATCTCTGTATGAAACTGCGATATAAAGAAACCATCTATAGACTCCGGCTCCACCTCTCGGTAACAGCGACCCGTCACTCTCTCTCTGCTCAGGACCTGGTACCACCTCCCACTGAATCTGTCCTGGTGACTTGGATATTTCTGTTTTTTACTCACAACTGTTGCTCTTCTGTTTCCATCAGACAGAGACAGTCTGGGGTGAGCTGTGTTTGGATCCAGAGTGAAGTCTGTCCAAAATAACAACAACTCCTCTCTGCTTCTGGGTTCTCTCCATGAAAACTGGACACGGCTCAGAGCCAGAGATGTTGGTGCATCCCTCACACAGTCTCCCTCTGGGACTGGCCCTCTGTGAGGCCCCTGACTGGGACTGGCCCTCTGTGAGGCCCCTGACTGGGACTGGCCCCTCTGTGAGGCCCCTGCTCAGTGCAGTGTGTAGCTGTATAAAGCTGTTGTGGTCTTTGGTGAGGGACAGTGTGTCCAGGTCACAGAGGCGCAGCTCACTCAGCTCCTGCTTCACTTGGTCTTGGATCTCTCGGACTCGGCTCAGTCCTCTCTGCAGCTCGGACTGGAGCTGCTGCTCCACTTCTTTGGCTCTTGTCTCCAGGAGAAGGATGATGTCTCTGAAGCTGTCCCTGCTGAGCTGCAGTGCTGAGTGGGCAGAGGTCCTGAGGTCCTGCTCCTGCTGTTGGAGGGAGGTCCTCTCTGTGTCTTTGTGCTGGAGGTTCTGGAGGAGCAGGTCCCTCTGGGCCTCCAGCTGGGCCTCCCTCAGGGCCCTCTCTGAGGCTGAGGACACAGTCTCATGGTCCTTGTGCTGGTCCTCACAGCAGAGGTAGCAGATGAGTTGGCCGTCAGTACGACAGAACATCTTCTTCAGTTCATTGTGCTCAGAGCAAAAGTTTTCCTGGAGCGTGTGCGATGGCGCCACCAGCTGGTGTTTGTGAAGCGCTGCAGAGTCATAATGAGGCTGTAGGTGGCGCTCACAGTAGGAGGCCACACACTGCAGACAGGACTGAACCGCTTTAAGCTTCTTTTCAGAGCACACATCACAGGATACGTCCTGAGGCCCCACAGAGAGGTCAGCAGGGGGCGCTGTGCTCATCTGCTCCACCACAGATGCTAACAGGAGGTTTTTGGACAGCACAGGCCTGGGGCTAAAGCTCACACGACAGTCAGGACCTGCTCTTTGTGCTCCTATTATGCATTATTGATATTATTATTATTATTGTTTCTGTGTTATTCTTCTGATATTGTGTGAATACTGAACATCTGCTGGTTGAACATAAGAATTCCACTGCATGTGGTGTGACAATTAAATAATCTAAACTAAGAAAGTAATGATAGCATTAGCAGTTCAAGAAAATAAAACACTATCATATGAATCAGAAAGTCGACATTATAAATACATTTGTTTGCAGTTATTACAAGCGAGAGTCTGCGTGTGAGAAGTGCCATCACTCCTGTGCCGTGTGCTCTGGTCCTGGTCCAGAGTCCTGTCGGCTCTGTGCGCCCCCCCTGCTGGAGATACAAGGAACTACAGTGTGTGTGCAGCGCTGCCCTCTGCGCTTCTACCAGAGCGACAATGTGTGCAAACAATGTCACATCAGCTGCAAGACCTGCTCAGGTATGTGTCCAACAAACATCAAACGGACTGACAAGGAGCCGAGATATGGAGGTGTATAATGTTTGGTAATCTGAGAACTATAAGGCTTTGTCTCATTGGCAACATGTCAGAATGTACTCACTAAATTATAACTCTAAATTCTAATAACCTACTGTTTTGCAGTGTATATCGTACTTTAGACGTTTATATTTAGTCGTTTATTGTAACCCAAAGGGAGAAATGCTAAACTGAAATAAATTCTGAATACTCATTTCTCCATTGTGAGATCAATAAAGTTTAATGTCTTTCCCTCTTCCGAGTCCTTGGAGAGACCAGTGGACTCTCCCGGGGGAATAAAATTACCTCCAGCCAGTGGGGGTGGGTCCCGGCTCCAAAACCTCCATGACCACTGACATACTTGCAATACCACTCCGGGCCTGTGGGGTGTACTTGGAAAGAGAATTACCCAATGCTTTTGTATGGTGTCTTCTTTCCTCTCGAAGACGTCTTTACAGGATGGTCTAAAAGTCGCTCCTGGCCCAGATTCTCTCAATGTTGAGGGGAGTGTATGGTTTGGACCAGTCTAGTTCAGCTGCTGTGGACTTCAGAATGCACACTGTAACATGAATGAGGCTAGTGCGGCTAACGAATGTGGAAATGTGTTGTTTCACATTCTCCTGCCCCCGCGGCCATTTTGAAAAAGACCACAGAAGGCAAAAGTGCTAGCACATTAGCTTCAACGGCGGAGATTGGCGTCACTATAGCCGCTAATATTCATTGTCTATACAGTACAAGCCCCGGCGATCCAAGATGGCGCCCTATTCAAATGAATGGTTGTGCTCAGTGGCGCTTTGTGACGGCATGGGGGCTGAAAGATTAGCGGAAGTTGCCTGGAACTCTCAAAGATCTATGGGAAACTCTCAAAGATCTTTGGGAAACTCTCAAAGATCTATGGGAAACTCTCAAAGATCTATGGGAAACTCTCAAAGATCTTTGGGAAACTCTCAAAGAACTATGGGAAACTCTCAAAGATCTATGGGAAACTCTCAAAGATCTATGGGAACTCTCAAAGATCTATGGGAAACTCTCAAAGATCTTTGGGAAACTCTCAAAGATCTATGGGAAACTCTCAAAGATCTTTGGGAAACTCTCAAAGATCTATGGGAAACTCTCAAAGATCTATGGGAAACTCTCAAAGATCTATGGGAAACTCTCAAAGATCTTTGGGAAACTCTCAAAGATCTATGGGAAACTCTCAAAGATCTATGGGAAACTCTCAAAGATCTATGGGAAACTCTCAAAGATCTATGGGAAACTCTCAAAGATCTATGGGAAACTCTCCTGTATTTGGGCATCGTCTGGTCCTCCCGGTTCTGTGCAGTGGATGATCTCCCATAATGCATTGCTCCAAACACTTGTGTGTGGGTCTCACACCGGGTCTCACGCACGTGCACAGAGGGGCTCGGCCGCGCTCTGACCAATCAGAGCAGTTCATCAGAGCGGGAGTTAGAGCGAGAGCCAGAGGAGCAGAGTTTGTGGCACTAAAGTGTGGATTTAAACAAATCCGAAGGATTTAAGAAGAAAAAAAGTTCAGGATGACAAGGGACACTAAAATCCCCACAAAATCTGACCTTTATGAAAGCTGTAGGTTCTGTCAGGACCTCTGTCTGGACCTCTGTCAGGACCTCTGTCAGGACCTCTGTCAGGACCTCTGTCAGGACCTCTGTCAGGTTCTCTGTCAGGTTCTCTGTCAGGTTCTCTGTCAGGACCTCTGTCAGGACCTCTGTCAGGACCTCTGTCAGGACCTCTGTCAGGACCTCTGTCAGGACCTCTGTCAGGACCTCTGTCAGGTTCTCTGTCAGGTTCTCTGTCAGGTTCTCTGTCAGGTTCTCTGTCAGGTTCTCTGTCAGGTTCTCTGTCAGGACCTCTGTCAGGACCTCTGTCAGGACCTCTGTCAGGACCTCTGTCAGGACCTCTGTCAGGACCTCTGTCAGGACCTCTGTCAGGACCTCTGTCAGGACCTCTGTCAGGACCTCTGTCAGGACCTCTGTCAGGTTCTCTGTCAGGTTCTCTGTCAGGTTCTCTGTCAGGTTCTCTGTCAGGTTCTCTGTCAGGTTCTCTGTCAGGTTCTCTGTCAGGTTCTCTGTCAGCTGAGGTCGAGCTGTTTTAATATGCATTGAGTTCTATGGGGAAAATGTCTGGGTAGCCCACGTGAATTTAGTCTGGTTCAGTCTGGTTCAGTCTGGTTCAGTCTGGTTCAGTCTGCAGTACCGCGAGAATCCCCTGAGCACATGAGTTATTCAGCTACAAGCTGTAATACCCTATCCAGTTAATATAATAGATCCATGATACAGTACCCCAGCCCTCCAGTCCTGACCTTTGACCTGCCCGACAAAAAGACAACAAAGTGAAGTAAAATAAAATACTGTGGAGGAAGAAGAATCCACAAAGTCATGTATCAGTTCTAGTTCAATGTCCAAAAAACATCTCGTTTTATAACGACCGGCGTGTGTGCAGTGTTGTGTGTTTTGTCAGACAGTGTGTGTTGTCAGACAGTGTGTGTTGTGTGTTGTCAGACAGTGTGTGTTGTGTGTGTTGTCAGACAGTGTGTGTTGTCAGACAGTGTGTGTTGTCAGACAGTGTGTGTTGTGTGTTGTCAGACAGTGTGTGTTGTGTGTGTTGTCAGACAGTGTGTGTTGTCAGACAGTGTGTGTTGTGTGTTGTCAGACAGTGTGTGTTGTGTGTTGTCAGACCGTGTGTGTTGTGTGTTGTCAGACAGTGTGTGTTGTCAGACAGTGTGTGTTGTGTGTTGTCAGACAGTGTGTGTTGTGTGTGTTGTCAGACAGTGTGTGTTGTGTGTTGTCAGACAGTGTGTGTTGTGTGTTGTCAGACAGTGTGTGTTGTGTGTTGTCAGACAGTGTTGTGTGTTGTCAGACAGTGTGTGTTGTGTGTGTTGTCAGACAGTGTGTGTTGTCAGACAGTGTGTTGTGTGTTGTCAGACAGTGTGTTGTGTGTTGTCAGACAGTGTGTGTTGTGTGTTTGCAGGTGCGTCTCCTCAGGACTGTCTCTTGTGTGATGAAGGCAACACTCTGAAGGACAGTGTGTGTTTCCCTCGCTGTGAAGAAGGAACCTACTTCTCACAACAGGTCAGAGGTTTATAAATGAGTTTATGGCTTTAAATCGTGACTTATGCAAAAGTTTACAACATTTATGGACTTTGGGCTCTGCCTTTTATGGACCAAAGTCTTTATGTGTTATTCCCAAGCCCCGGTAATCCAAGATGGCGTCCTGTTCAAATGAACGGCTTGTGCTCAGTAGTTCATGGGACTTCACGGAGACCGGGAGATTAGCAGCATTACGTGCACAGAGGGGCTCGGCCGCGCTCTGACCAATCAGAGCGGAGTCAGAGCGGAGTCAGAGCGGGAAGGAAAGGAGCAGAGTTTGTGGCAGTAAAGTGTGGATTTAAAGAAAACTGAAGGATTTAAGAAGAAAAAATACTTCAGGACGACAAGGGACACTAACATCCCCACAAAATATAATATTTCTGAAAGCTGAAGGTTCAGATTCAGATTCATTTATTTGCCATTTGCAGTAAAACCACATTGGAAAAACTGTGCAAGACTACCCCAGTGTGCACCAGACGACACACACCAGAGCTCTTGCAGAGGTTCTCTGTAGGTTCTCTGTCAGGTTCTCTGTCAGGTTCTCTGTAGGTTCTCTGTCAGGTTCTCTGTAGGTTCTCTGTCAGGTTCTCTGTCAGGTGAGGTCGAGCTGTTTTAGTTTACATTGAGATCTATGGGACTTTTTTCTGGGTAGCCCTCTGAATTTAGTCTGCAGCACCACAGCGCCCCCTGTGGTCATGGGTGGGACAGCTATAAGCTTGTAATACTCTATCCAGTTATTATTATAGATCCATGATTTTTTCATTGCATTTATTGAGTTTGAACTGTTTGATTCTCTGATCTGTGTTGGCGAATCTGTAAAGTCCTCAGAGATAACTCCTGTTTTCATGTAGGGCGATACAAAAACACATTGAATTGAAAATTTTTGCAAATTAGTTATTCATCTATTAAAACACTAGACTCAAAACAGGTTCTAAACTAAGTAGAGCAGCTGTAGAATAATGTGAGAAAGTTTGGCTTTCTGACCCCAAACAACTATTTTGATTCAGATTTCACAGTTATAATTGGTGAATAATGCAAATGAATGGAGTCAAAAACCACAGTCATGATTGTATAAAGTATGAAGAAAAGACAAAATGTGACTTTTCCTCATGCTTTATACAATCATGACTGTGGTTTTTGACTCCATTCATTTGTGTTTGTATTATTCACCAATTATAACTGTGAAATTTGAATCAAAATAGTTGTTTGGGGTCAGAAAGCCAAACTTCCTCTCATTATTCTACAGCTGCTCAGTGATACAAAAACATGTGAAAAAGTAGGTTTCCTCGAGCTGCAATCTTCCACATGTTTGTTAATGACTGCTTTTAGCTTGAATAAAAAATACAACATCTATCATAATCTGAATACAATGAAACGCACTGCAAAAAGTGACAAAAATAAGTAAAACATTTATTTCAGCACATTCTGAGCCTTAAAACAAGATCTGCTGATTTTTTGGGG